TAATAAAATGTTTATGGCATTATGGAAAAAAAAGATGGTAGGGCTTAGCAGTCCTGCCATAGGAACTGCAAGAGTAGCCAATCCCAAGGAAAAAGGTTTCAGCTCCAATCTGTTGCACGGCTAATAGTTTCTAGGTTAATGGAAACTAAATCCAGAGAAAGTGTACAGACTGGGTTCAAAATAAACTGAAGGCAAACAGGAGAGAGCAAAGGAAATTCTAGCAAGCAAGAGTGTTACTTAAATATTTGTGACGGACACAGCATAACTCCATAAGCTGAGTACCTCTTGGTATACATCCTCTTGCATAAATGTATTCTAAGGGAAACCCTAGTCCAGTCAACAAAATGAGAAATCAAATATAATTGCTTCTAAATAATAGAAGTGGAACACTTCAGAGTACGAGATAGAATCCAACACTGATTTACAATTCTCCTTTTGTACAGCCTTTTCTCACCCACATTATGCAATATTGTCCTAGGTTTTATTCAATGTCTGAAATAACTTAAAAATGAAACTATAAAAACACACTGAGCTGTCCTATGCTTCTAACATGCTGGCTCTTGATATTTGAAAAGATGCTGAAAAGGCTTTGGGGAGATGAAAATGTCTATAAAATGTGTCTCTAAAGAACAAAAGCTTTGCCAGACTGCACTGCCTCTCATGTCTATCCTGCCTCTGAAAGAGTTATACGCAGCTCAAGGGAGCACTTTAGTCTTGGTAACCATTCAATTCTTGATCTCTTTATTAAGGCTACCAACAAGGGTGTGATGTAAACTAAACTGTGGTTATCTTGTTCTAACATGCTCAGCTCCTTCTGGAAAGAGAGATACTCACAGGCCTTAGAAAGGAAAAGTATAGATCAGAATGGTAGGTGTGGTAGGGACCTCAGAAAGTCATTTAATCCAGCCTCCTGCTCAGGACAAGACTGCCCCCAACTAAGCCATCCTAGTCAAGTATCTGCCTAACTTGCTCTTGAAAACATTCAAAGATGGAGATTCCATATACATTTACCTGTCAAATTCTTTTCTACATGGTCTTCATCTGAAATATCACAGTTTCCTCCATCGGTTTTTGTGTGTAAGGGCATCAGATTTTTAATCAGGGCATGTTCATGGTGATTAGCTTCTGTCTTTAAGGAGCCATTTTCACAGCTGTTCAGTTCTATCTGTCTGTAGGGATTAAATAAAGTACAAATTCAAACCAATGTGTAAAATATATTACTTGGCTTGGACAAGTTTCTTCATGCATAACTGCACACAGCAATTGGAGAAAATGAAATCAGACTGTAGGCTGTTAAAGATTGCTGTGAGGGAAATATTTGTCTAAAATGAACTGACTGAAGCCTGCAGAATAGTAAAGATAAAGAAAAATGTATATTATTAAAAAGGGACAGGGATCACGCAAGCTGGTTTAAAAGTAGAGTTAAATGGAGAGAAAGTGGCTAAGACAAGAGTTCCCTGGCTATGGCATTAATTATATTGTTTCTGTTTTTTTCTCACCCAGATCTGTTCCACAGGAATCACACTGCTAGCACGTGGAAGTGGAAGGCAAAGATAGGGAAGAGAGGATTAAAGAGATAAGCATGATGCCTACTTTGTTCTGTGTATCAGAAGTCTTTAAGAGAAGTTGTGGTGAGGTCTCCAATAAGTAGCCAACAGAAGAAAATTGGGAAAAATGTGAGTCAGATGAAAGAATGCTATCTGCTATCTTCATTTTAAGATGCATCATTTGCATCACTAGTTTGATATTGTAAATGGCAGATATAAGCAGGGCAGTAAGATGAAATGAAAGAGGCAGACATAACCAAAAAGACAATGCAATTCTTTAAAAAAGCTGTAGTGCAAAGTGCAAAGTTATAATGTACCTTTCTGTTGTGGTGCAGCTAGAGGTGACAGAATGTTTCACCTATAAGACAGAAAAAAATTACCCTTTAAAGCAAAGCAACATTTTGGGTTTCACAAACTTCACAGTGCATTAAAAGAAAGCTGAACAAGTGCTCACCTGTTTCGCTGAAATGGGGCCTATAAAAACAGTCCAGCAAAATGCATACTGGAGTCATAGCCTGAAAAATATCTGGCCTTCCTCTTGCAGACAGATCTAAAAAGCTAACTAATAAATACTGAGGGAGAAGTTAATCCCTTGGCCAATACATTGCTCATCTCCACAAACCTAACCAGTGCAGTGATGTGAGAGATGATGGACAAACAAATCCACCATTTCAAGAGAGCCCAGTGAAAGGCTGGGTTATGGAAAAAGGAAATCATCCTGCTGGGTATACGCTATAAAATAAACCTTGCGCACTTCAGCTGAATAGCAACACATCCGTTCCTGCCTGCACCCGCATCTGCTGTTAATCAGGATTATTGCTCCAGATTTGAACATTTTTTCTGTGGATTTAGAACTCCACACATGGTGATGAGGTCATTTTAAAAAATTCATACTGGACTTCCATAGCAGGTGAGCCTGACATACAGTTATATTTTCTTGGGACATGGATATATGAGAGTGGATCCATTTTGGGGTATTACTGATTAAAAATTCTATCCAACCACTGAACGCAAGTGATTGGTCACTGAGATAACCTTTAAAAAGTCTTATTTCACCTACAATCCTCATTTCACCTGCACCACGACTTTACTTGTGGATAGTCATGAGCCAAATCCAAAGCTAAAATCCCTAACTCTGCACTTCCACAATTACTTTGTTGCAGGAAGGACATTTTGCTTTTAGACCTGTCTGGCAGCTGAGACTACACAAGCTTACCTTGTTTGATTTGGGAACTGTCAAATGTGGAGATCCTGGTGGAGTGCAGTGTAGTAACTCAGAAGTGAAGGCTGCATTTGCAATTTGCATACATTCTTCAAGAGTCTTCAGGAAGGTGTTACATGTTGATTTCAACAGTGCTCTCATATCGATTCCGTTCTGTGAAATAGCCAGATTGAAAATCTCTTTATTTCCCTTAAAAAACCCACTATTTCAGAAAGTTTGACCTTTATAAAATCTACCACCACAGCAGCCACATTTCTTTAATCAAAGGAAGCCCAGTATTTTTGAAGAACTTAAAGTAGTACTGCTGCTCAGAGCAATGACAGCAAACACTAATGGGGTTTCATTATCTAAAAACATTCTGCTGCCATCAACCTCTTGCCCTACGAATCTGAATATGTAGTGTTTCAACAGCAACATTTGCCTGACATGTCCCCATAGTTAAGTATGTTAACTACCTGCCCTAGTGTGTTCAATATTAGCACAACTAGAGGATACCATGATGAAGGAATAAAAACCTGACAAGTAAAATGCATAGCACAGAGCCGACGTGAGTTAGGATCATTTTGGGTACAAATATGTTAACCCAAGTCACTGCAATTGAACAGTGTGCAGAACAAAACCCCATTCTTTGTGTAAATCACCATTTTTAGATGGAACTAAAAAATATGTTACGATGGTGAACGGCTCTTAAATTAACCCCTTCAGTTGCAAGGTCTGGGGAGGCCAGTTTTTCCACAACAAATTGAAAGAATTTAATTTAACCAGGAAAGCAGGCTAATCATGGCCAGGCAATATCCACCACTACTATACTACACAAACAGACCTACAGCAATGGCTTCATCCAGGATGCCTACTCCAGCAGTTTAGGCATTAACATCTAACTTTCAATAAGCTCAATCTGCTTGTTCTGCACCCTGGAAACAAACTGCTTTCTGGGAGGCATCGTAGAAGGTAAAGCTGCAACACCACCCCTGCTTTCCAACTAAGACCGCTCATCAAAATCTTTCCATTTCCATATACCTCAGACTGAGAAATGCACACGTTTCATCAGACGGCTGTTCTCAATGGCAACAGCTGCTTCTGCTAGGAACGAGATACCTCTGGAACACAAACTGGTTAAAATGCTGATCCTCATTATAAAGGATAATCAGCAAGTTTCTTCCTTTAGTTCAGTTTAGTTTCACTGTGACCCTATGTTGCCTCTTAACCTTTCAGGGTTCCAGCTAATAGAACAGAATGGACTGAAACAGAATGTTAATTGAGGCTGGAGAGCAGGCAAATCAAGGCCAGGTGACATGCACTTCTATTTTGCCTTTTTATGAAGCATGCACAAGGTCAATGACACCAAGAAATGAATGGTCTGAGGCACTGCTATCCTGATTGCAGTGACTGCAGATGACCCAAGTACTAGCCAGCGTAACAGATGTTTTGATCGCCAGAACACAGGCAATGTGGTATTTTATGATACAAAAATCTAGTGCTTGGATAGGATACTCTATGTCTTTTATGCATTCACCAGGAGAGTCAGTGTCATGTTAAAAAAGCAGAGTTACAATCTTCCTAATGTCATTATGGGCAGAATCTGTGAGGCAATGAGGCTGGAAGGGCAATTTTAGAGAGTTCAACACATCGCAGGAGTGTTTTATATAAAACAAGGCTGTACCTCGGTTTCCGATACACCAGAAATGCTAGCTTCCTTAGTTTTATCTACTTGCTGAACGAGGAGGTCACAATACAGTCTAAGTTCTGACATTTTGGTTTTCAAGGCTTCAGTGTTTTCAGTAAATTCTAAAAATGAAACAAAAAAAGTTGGATTTATTTTCTCAGCCTTTCAGTAGATGTTCTGAAAAGTTAATACAATTTCAATTCAGTTTAACCTGGGCAGTCAATGTTTCCATTTCAAGAAGCTCCCTATCGGTTCCAATGTGTCATGTTTAAAACTAGGGTAGCTATAAATTCATTTTATGACAGGTGGAATAGTATGTCCCATGAAAATTAACCAGCATACATAGGAATAGTGCATTCTACCTCAGCTGTTAATATTAAACACAAACATACTACAAAGAGTCTCAAGTAAAAGATGTCTGAATCATAAGTCTTTATTCAAGTACTAAGTCCTTGTACATCATCATGTTCCTATTTGTTAAGACTTAGGTACAAACAATTATATTGTCAATTATGCTGGCATAGATCCTTTCTTGTAAACTATACAAGAAAATGGAAATAGATTTTGACAAAGAAAGATCAACTTAATATATCTCATGATAATAATTCTGGACCAGAATGCCTGTAAGCTAATTTAATTTTGTTGAGTGAAAGGATCTGAAGTTCTGCAAACATCTCACTAATATTTTATCTGTGACAGCATATCACATTATAGATTTCCCTGTGTTTTTTATCATTTGTTGTTTCAAACTTGCATTGCATTGCAAATTTGCTTTCTCCATAGCCAGTCAGAACTGGTAAATGCATACCCAATGCACTGCATAACAAGAGCACAAAAGGTTTGGGTGGGGATGGGGAAGTGGCACTTCTCGCCTTATCAGGAGCTAACACAGGAAGAGACAAATTAGCTGCCAGAACTGCAGACTTACTAATGTCACTTTATCTGCTTTAACACCTTCAGAGCAGCAAGGGAGTTTGGCATATTAACTCAGCGTGGCCATGCATTGGGTCTCATGCTACAATTCATGAACAAGACCATTCTATAACCAGGAGAATTTCCATCTGACTGGTTCCTGCCAGCATCAAGAGAGACCAGCCACCAGGAGGGAAGAAGATGCTGCCAAACTTGACCACAGTCAGATCTTGAACTCTTAGCACTGGCATGTGCCACAGAAAAATTAATTTTCAAAGCATGTGCATTCCTAACTTAATTGGCATGTGGCACTAGATGGGTACAGCTAGAGACCACAGAACCCATTCAGTCAGGTAGAGACTGGACGGAATGGGTTTAAGCAATGGAAGCCAGAGAAAGGAAGGGCTGAGAAACTGGTTGCAGGGCCTAGGTAGTTGGACTGCAGGCTCCTAATGACAAGAGAAGTGTCAGTAACTAGGGAGTCTATATCTAAGCAACTCAGATCTAGGCAGTTAAACCCAAGAGACCTAAAGACATGTAGGATTTGATATCTTGTACATGTCAAACCCAGACCAAACCTGTTGAACCCATGCTGTTAGAGATAATGTCTTAACTCTATTTAGGTTCCTCAAGTGATCTGATGTTCAGAGGTGATTAAATCCTGTTGTCCAGGGTCAGACACTGGCATTTTACCATCCCTAGTTGTATAACTCCTAATATATATGGGGAGAAAGACAAGTAAATAGTCCAGAAGGTCAGAAGTGCTCAGTACTGAGAGGGAAGTCCATGCCTTTTTCTTTCTGTGTCCTACTGTCTGTCAGACAAGCCTTGGCAGTTCCAAGGGCAACCAACCACTTTTGTCTCTCAGCTGCACTTCTTGCTTTCAGATAGAAGCACTGCTCTCCAGGAATAATCAGATCCATTCGAGTATTATCTGCAGAATGAACTAAGAACAACACACATTTTAAGACATGGCAATAGACACTTCCCCTCGAGTGAAAAATCCATTTTCTTCTTGCTCACCCAAACTTCAACAGAAAAACAGCAGGAAAATTTGAATTCAGACTTAAGGATAGAGGAGTAGTTACTGCCCAGTTTGCCACTTCACAGTCCACATTAGCAAACTAAACTGCCAGCCTCTGGGGGAAGGATACTTCAGCCCATGAAAGAGAAACTCTCAAGGGAAGATTCAAGTAGACCCTTTCTTTCTGTGGTTCAAAGAAATTACAATGCTATTCCTTCACGTAGATTACCTCTTATATTGTGGATTTATAGTCCTTCTCAAGGTATTGTTACCCATTACACTTAGCACATACTAACTGCCATTACAACTGCTAGAGTCCAAGTAGTTAAGCACATGCTAAGTAACATTGTAGCATAGTAAAATAGGCCTTTTCCAGTGAGGAGTATCTCCAGATTGTATTACCTAACCTGTGTTGAGCTAACACTGGACTGCCCCATGGAGATAATACAATGAGAAGGGGGCAGAGAGGTCAACAAAGCTATTTGTTGGGTCCCAGCCCCCACCCCTACTGTACTAGCACCCTGTCAGTTCAAGGCTCCTATGTGGCACAAATGCTGGGGGAGCACTGGCATGTCACAGGAGCTGGCCCCAGCCCTTGTTTGAACTGATTTCTATGCAGTGTGGGGAGTGGGACTAGCTTCTCTGCTGTGTGGGTGTCGCTCCCAGCCTCTGCACCACAACAGAACCTTGAACTGGCTCTGGTGGGATCCCAGGCTGGGGACTGATTTTCAGTCTCAGCCCTGGGATCCCATCAGAGCCAATTCAAGCTTCAAGTGAGATAGGATGATGCACATTCAGATCGTAGTAAGCAGTGAGAAGTGGGTTCTATTGTTCCTTAGTTACCTTGAATTTCACACACAGCCATTTGAATGCTTCCCTTACAGCCTTTCCAGGCATCTTCCCGAGAGTCATAATATGACAAGATACCTCCACAGAGAAGAAACCATCGAGGCTGCCAGCCTGCAAAAGAAACAACATTGCATTTCTTCAGCAATCTAAGTTCCAGAAAAACTACCTTTTCTTTAGCTCAGGAAGCTGTACAACTGGAATCCAAACAAGAGATGCTTGGGATGGTTAAAAGAGCAGTTAAAAGTGTGCATGGAAATCAAATGTCTACAAAGGCCCCCCTTTGTGGAATGGCTGCAATTACAGGTCTTTCTTGAAGCCCAGCTGGAGTTATAAGATCCTGCTGAGCTGTCAGACATGCGATAGTTAGCAACACTTAGTAAGTAGTTCCTCCTCTTCCACAATCAATGTCCCACCTCTCTGCCGACTCCCCTCTTCTCACTCCCCCACAAAATCACCGTGGCAGCCTTGCCCCAGGGCTCCCCTTCTTATACTGTAAGGAGGAAGAAAAAAAATATACTATCATTAAAGGAAATTAAAAAAGAACTCCTTTAAAGTAATGAAAGCAATGCTTGATTTTCAAAGGCCAATTTTGGAGAATACTTCTAAACTTCTCCAATCTCATCCCGTCCAGGAAGGTTCAGTCTTCTTTCAATGCAACTAATATTTCCTCAAGTCACTGTCAAATTCTTGCCAGCAATGTCAGACGTGGAGAGGGTTCACATCTATCTCTTTGCCCATTTCTTAATCACAGCAGTCCCAAGCCACATTTCTTTCCACACTGCTGCCTGACCTTAAGACCTCAACTATAACTTCAAGAGACATTTTGAAAAAAAACAGAACAGAGCTAATGATAACAGTTATCTCCTTTATTTCCAATATAGAAAGAAAAAACATCAGTGATGTAGGAGAAAATGAGGACAACAGTTAGTAGAAGAAATTCTCCTCTATTAATATTAAGCTGAAGATAAATTTGGTCAGTCAAATATAACAAAGAGTTGATACTCAAGCTGTTCTTTTCTTTTTTTCCAGAAAACGGAAGCACCAGTCAAACAAGAGCTGCATAAGCTACACTAACAGCCAACATACAAAAATCCACAGTGATACCACAGGCAAAAAGAAGTGCATGGATGCATATTTTGGGTCCTTCCTACAGTATCAGGTCAGTCTGCTCAAATGGTAGCTCATAAGAGGGGGAAAAAACAACCTCACACAAACAGAGCAAATTAAACTGATATCAGTTTTCTTAAATTTCTAAAGTTTTCCAGAGTATTCTAAATTACTGTAAAAGTCATTTGAAGTTTGAGGTAGCCTGCTATTTATGGACAACCTTCTCTTTTTTATTTGAAAGACCTTGGTAGCCAAATGGACAATTTTTTTTAAAGATGTAAGAGAAAAGAGAAACGTTACAAGGAATTTCTGATTTCAGACAGCTTGCAATAAGGTAGTGATAATTCAGCACAGAGTAACAGTTAATTGTATCAGAGCCTCGGTAGCATGTACATGATCACTTAAATAATCCACCGCCCAACAGTCAAGGCATGCTCCTAATTCAGACTGACACGGTTCTTTGGCTAAATCTGATATCTTTTATTAGACCAACACAAATAGTTGGAAAAAATTCTCTTAGCAAGCTTTCAGGTATAAGTACCCTTTCTCAGGCTGAAGAAGCGTCTGCAGTTGGTGTGTGCTCTTCCTGGATGGTATGAATAGTAAAGAAAGATTTTTTTCCCAACTATTTGAGTTGGTCTAATAAGACATCAGTTTTACCCAAAGAACCTTGTCTGCCTATGTCCTTAGACCAATGCGGCTACAACCTATACACCTCCAATTCAGACTGGAGCTCCTACTGCTTCTCATAAACATCTTCAGTTATGTTCTTTGTCGCTTACAATATTAACCGAGTAAACTGACAGGCTGCTAATCTACTCTTCATCATACAGACAGCTCTCCCTCTACCTCAGTTGGAAAAGCCTGGTTAAAATGAATTTTAAATAAGATGTTTTGCTATCTATTCCTTCCCCACAAAAAGTTATAAGCTTTGGCGAAATTAGATACTGATTTACCATTCCAGCAGATGGGTCCCAATACAGAATGACAATTCTCACTACACAGAACCAACAAGCATACAGAACGTATTTTCAGAACAGAGCTATGACTGCTACATGGAGAGTTAATTAGGAAAAAATAAAAAAATAGCATGTCTATCCTTAGATCAACTAGTGAGATAGAAAACTATTGTTATTCTTTTCCCATCTTCTTAAGAAAGGAAAAATGATTCAGGTATTTCCAGGATAGTAATGGCGCATTGTGTGGCATCCCATGGCACCCTTGAAAAGATCTCAAGGCACCTTAGAGTGCCGTAGCACCTTGGTTAAGAATCACTGGTTTAGACTGCCATGGCTTTGAGACAAGTGAGGCAGGGACAGTCCCAGTAATTTTTTGGGAAGCTTGTATGTGGCTTTTGCTTGATTTAGATGCAGCTAAACCCTTGGCTCATGGGCCAAAATTTGGCCCTCAGCATCCTTTCATCCAGCCCACATGGCTTCCCATGGGCTTGTAGAAAGTCCCACAGGACCATGGCCCTGTACATTAGATTGGGTATGCAGGGCAGCCGCAAACCCAACCCCAGCCCTGTGTGCTGGGGGATGATGCGGAGCCCCCAGAGCCTGATCCCATTAAGCAGGGTAAGGCAGCGGCTCTGCAGGGCCGTGGGGCTGGCATGGGGCTAGACCCAGCCAGGAGTCAGCAGCATGCAGGGCCCAATCTGGTCCACCTTTGGAAAATGATCATTTAAATTGCTAGGGAAGAAGAGTGTGAGAGCTCAGACACTTTTTGGAGAGCCTGAATTTCTCTAGCCTCAATCAAATTTTAAGCCTAGATAAGGAGCAGATGCTGAAGCGACTGCACTGCAGTGAACTAACAGGAGAAAAAAACTGAAGGATCTATTGAAAGTAATTTAGATTTGTCACCTGCCTTTGATACCACTAACCAAAAGATTTTGTTGTGAACAATTTGGAGGCAGGGTCACATGTGCGTGTGTGTATGCACACACACATGGGCAGCAAATAAGTCTATGGGGCAGGGGGGACACAACTGTCCAGGCACACCCATTGGCAACACAAGGGGGGGGGGGATTGGGAAGGGGCACGGGGGATACATGCCCCACTACGTTTCTGCGCCGACAGCAGGGCACGGGTCCCTTTGGGTCAGGTGTGGGTCACACTGCCAGGGCTGGGTGGTGCACACAGGTGCACGTGAACCCCCTGACAGTGGCAGTGCACCCCCTGTGAACAGGCACTGCTGACACTGCCAGTAAACAGCCACTCATCCGCAATTCTGTTGTGCTTGCTATGAAAGTTGGTCAAAAGCAACTGCTGTTGGTTTTAGTTGCAGACACTGGCATTTTGCCTCTTTGTGCAGCTGAATGTTGCTGATAATTCTGATGATACTGACCAAAACACTGCTTTGCATTTGTCTACAATTTTCCATGTAAACCGCTTCATTTTTCAGAAAAGATTCAAGGCATGCCACTTGGCTGTTCTATCTTGTTTCTACAGCAGGTCCCTTACAGCTGTTAGGGTGGCCTTTTGCAGCCTGGTTATTTTGGAAGTAGTTCTGAACCTCTATCACTTGACTAAACAAAAGGCTTTACAGTTGGATGTGTCATTTTCCAGATGGTTCATGAAGCAAGACATACAACCATGGCTTACGGAAGTCACGGGGTGCCCATACACATGCTGTGGGGTGGGGCATTTTAGTTGCAGCGGCTCTCAGGAGCTGCTCTAATTAAAACGTCACAGTGCCTTGTGTATTCAGCATCCTGCATTTCAAAATGGCTGTGGGGGCGCTTCAATTAAAGCTTGTTCAACAAGCTTAAGTTAAATTGCCCATTGCCATTTTGAAACACAGGATGCTAAATACACGAGACACTGCAGCATGCTGGAACGTTCTAATTAGCAGATTAATCAAGTCCGCTCCAACACGTTCTAATCAGAACACTTTCTAATCAGACTGCATGACAGCACGTGTATAGGCACCCATGGTCTTCCACTTCCTCACACTGTTTTTATTCATTTTTTTTCATGGTCATGGACAAAACTCTTCACATTACAGTTGTACTTTAATTTCCTATTTTGATGGCTTCTATAGCAAGAGCTAGACAGTACTTCTGTGTTTTATGATTATTGTCATAGTTTCTGGAAGGTTTACCTAATGAAAACCAGTTTCAGCTGGTTTAAATCACTTTCTGTCACTGTCCTGATGAAGTGACTCCCATCCCCCAGCTCTGCTTTTTAAGATCAGAGCAGGGCTAACACATTCTGCACATGGTGTGTGGGCTGGACCTGGGACCACAAACCCTAAATGTGGCAGGGGGGTGGGGGAAGGGAGGAAGCAGGAAGGCTCAGGTCCAATCCAGCCTACGGGCTGCCCTGGTGATGGGGCTGGATGTATTTTGGAGTTGCAGCTAGCAAGGGATGTGAAGGGTAACAAGAAGGGTTTCTACAAGTATGTTGGTAGCAAGAAGATGATCAGGGAAAGTGTGGGTCCCTTACTAAATGGGGGAGGAAAGCTTGTGACAGAGGATGCAGAAAAGGCTGAAGTGCTAAATGCCTTCTTCACTTCAGTCTTCACAGTTAAGGTCAGCTCCCAGACTACTGCATTGGTCAGCACAGTTTGGGGAGGAGGTGAGCAGACAACAGTGGTGAAAGAACAGGTTAGGGTCTATTTTGGAAAGCTGGACATGTACAAGTCCATGGAGCTGGACAGGATGCAACCAAAGGTGCTGAGAGAGTTGGCTGATGTGATTGCAGAGTCACTGGACATAATGTTTCAAAACTCATGACAATCAGGAGGTCCCAGATGATTGGAAAAGGGCAAATATAGTCCCCATATTGAAGAAAGTGAAAAAGGAAGATCCATGGAACTACAGTCTCACCTCAGTCCCTGGAAAAATCATGGAACAGATCCTCAAAGGACTCCATTGCTAAGCACTTGCAGGAGAAAAAAATGTGATTAGGAACAGTCAGCATTGATTCACCAAGGACAAGTCATGCCTGGCCAACCCAGTTGCCTTCTACGACAAGGTGACTAGCTTTGTAGATGTGGGGAGACCAGTAGATGTGATACACCTTGATTTTAGCAAGATTTTTGATATGGTCTCCCACAACATTGTTGCAGGCAAGCTAAGGAAGTACAGGCTGGGTGAATGGACTGTAAGGTGGATAAGAAATTGGCTGGAGCATTGGGCTCAGAGGGTAGTAATCAATGGATCGATGTCTAGTTGGCAGCTGGTATCAAGGGATCGGTCCTAGGGCCAATTTTGTTCAATGTCTTCATTGACTTGGAAGATAGCACAGAGTGCACCCTCAGCAAGTCGGCAGATGACACCAAGCTGCGGAGAGTAGTAGATATGCTGGAGGGTAGGGCTAGGATTCAGTGACTTAGACAAATTGGAGGATGGGACCAAAAGGAATCTCCTGAGGTTCAACA